GGGGTCTCGGTTGGGGGATCTCTTCTACTTCTTTCATAACTACATCGTCTCCCTCCTTATCTGGCTCTTCTTCCTTACGACTAGCTACCTTCTCATAAATTTTCCATTTCTTACTTTCTTCTTCAAAATGTCTCATTTGGTAATAACTATTTGCTATAAAAAATAATTTTTCTTTCTCCTTTTCTATTTCTTTTGGTGGTTGATTATCCCGAAAAAATTGATCCTTAGTCCTTAACTTATGTGGATAAAAATTAATTAATGATCTTGATGGGAAAATGGGGTACTGCTGACTATTTCTATCTACCTGTTGAACTATATTATCTGTCGTGATTGAGAAGGGTTGGGTACTATTAAAATTACTATTACTATTTCTATTACTATTATCTGAAAGAAAATTTGAAGTATCTATTAGCCTCTTCATGCTTCGTTGGTAATGTTGTTGATTATTTGGACGTTGGTGTTGGTGTTGCTGGTGTTGAACTGGAAGATTGTTGTTGTTGTTTCTTCTAACTATTGAGGCATATGTTGGTGTTGGTGTTGTTAATGTTGGTTGACGCTGGTGGTGATGCTGAAATAAAGAAGAAGAAAAATGTGCGACGGCACGGGAAGAGAACCATTCACGAAGAGCTCCTTCATATTTCCGTCGGCCAGTGGTAGTTGATGGATGTAACCCATCTTCTACACGCATGTCCAAGGGTCCGAGACGCGCATCAACAATATCAAAATCTAATTGCTTAGATAAGAATCGAAGATGCTCATTAAATTGGTTATGCATTTGTCCGATGTTGGCCGCAGAGACGAATCTCGTTGGTTTCCATCGCGGTGACAAAGCTAACCAACCAATGGCTCGGATACCAGGGAATGACTGACGAACGAAACGTATGATCTCACTACATCGCTGCAGAGAAACATCAACACCGTACCGTCCCACATCGTTAGTACCCAATGAAAAAACTAAAAATTGTTTATCTCCTACCGTACGTTGACCTTCAGGTGTTTGTAACCAATTTATCATTTTAACAATATCACAACCTGATTCATAAGATAATTCAACGTTAACATAATTATTTTTTAATGCATAAGTTCTCACACGAGAACACATTGAATCGGATAGTATAATTCCTTTTAAATTATTATTATTATTATTATTAATATTGGGTAGTGGTACTGGTGGACGACGATAATTATTATTATTAATATTATTATTATTATTATTTTGTTGGTAAATACGACGTGGTTTAATTGGTGGTGGACGAAATGGTGAACGTGAACGTGAACGAGATTGAGATGGTAATTGTGATAAAAGATGAAAACGGGTACGAGATGTTGGACGTGGTAAATGTAGATGATGTTGTTGATTTGGATGGTATTGTTGGGCGTGATGGAATGAGCGGGTATTATGTTCAGATGGTAAATGAAATGGATTAATATCAAGTAAAGATGGTAAGTTTTTTGTATTATTATTAATATTATTATTATTGTAATAATTGGGTCTACGATAATTATTGTAACGATTGTAATTATAATTTCGTTGTTGGTAATTATTATTGTTATTATTATTATTATTATATAATGGTACTGGTGGTAAGTTACGACGTGGTACTGGTATAGGAGGTAAGTTAATATTATTTGTACCATTATAATTTGTATAACCATTAAATGTTGTTGTTGTACCTATTTGAAATTTATGAAAATGATTATACTTACGTTGGCCAGCTCCGTATAATGCTGGTTTACGTTGAACTTGTTGGACCATATGTTGATAAGTAGGTGGAATTGAACGTGGTGGTGGTATTGGATTTAAATAAGCGGGACGCATTGGTGGTATATTAATATTTGGTAAGTTTGATGATGTTGTTGATGAATATGTACGAGGAATAATTGTAATTGACGACATTGTTAATTCTTTTCGTGAACTGAGTAAATGGTGATTGTTCAACTTTAAATATGTGGGTGTGTTTTAAGTAAATAAACGAATTAACAATGATGGTAAGTAAACTAGATGACAAGTAAGTATATAAATGAAAAAATAAATATATTTTAGTAAATAAGTAAGTAATTTTAAGAAAAAATTGTTTTTTATTGGTTTTATTTTTATTTAAGTTTTTTTGTTTTAGTTTTATGTAAATTTTATTTGTTTTTTAAGATTTGAATAAAGAAAAATATCTATTTTTTGAACTTTTTAGTTTAATAAAGAAAAAAGAAAAATAATAAATGAATTTGGGTGAGTATTGAGTGAGAATGAAAAAATTAATTTAAGTGAAATAACGAAAATAAATTTAGGTAAATTTTTTAAGAAAAATTGGGCAGAGGTTTAGTAGTTTTTAAGAAAATAAAGCAGAAAAAATGAATAAATAAATAAGTAAATAAAGAAATAATTTAGATAAATTCCTAAGAAAAATTTGGCAGAGATTTAGTACTTTTTAGTGAAAAAGAGCTGATAAATTTAAGAAATAAAGAAATAAAGAAAAAATAAATAATTTAGGCTTGAGCAAAGAAAAATAATAAGTTTTTTTAATGAAAAAATGAGCTTGTGTTTAAGAGCAAGAAATAAGAAATGTTTTTGTGTGTTTTGTTTTTAGTTTTAAAGAGAAAATGAGCTTGTTTTTAGAAAATGAGAGAGAAAATGAGTTTGTTTTAGGCTTTAAGAAAAATAAACTATTTTTGGTATGAAAATAGCTGCTTTTTAGTTAAGACGAGAGCAAACGTGATTTTAATGAATTTTGAATTAAATTTAAAGATAATAATTGAATTTTAATGTGGTTTTATTTAATTTAACAATAAAGTAAAATAAATAACAGTAAAATTGTAAATAAGCGACGCGTTTCGAATATTCTTCAGGCTATGAATGACTATTCCAAGATGGCTACCGTTCTATCTAACTTTCCTTTCTTTCCCTCTCGTCCTATCAAAAAATATCTCATCTTCGCGGGGGTATACTAATGCACTTATGGGTATAGGGGGCGTTATCTATCAAGACTATTATTATAATATTCCACTCAATCTCAACTCAGGGGTGCTCAATCCCTATTACAATAAAATTAACACACAAAATATAAAAAATAATTGACAAAAAATAATTAAATACTATTCACACACAAAAAATTATTATTCACACACATAAAAAATATTCACACACAAAAATTATTATTCACACACAGAAATATTCACATACAAAAATACTCACACACAAAAAATATATAGAAAAAAAGAACACGATTACACATTATAACAGAAAACTGAATAATACTAAAATAAAATAACGAAAAAATATGGGAGGGGTATTTCTTTCCTTATTCTCAACTTATTCTAAATTCTCAACTAAAGCCTTAATCGCTGACTTAGATGGTTTCTTATGAACTAATATACTCTTTAAATTATCTGTTAATCTATGGGCAAAAATAACTGGGATATCGCTAAGCGGTGTTTCCTCAAAAATCTCTTTCCAAATTTGATGAAACCTTGACCCGAAACGTGCTAAATTTGGTGTATAGGTAAAGTGGAGTAGAATATCTCTATTAAAGTTAATCCCGGGGTTATCTTTTTTATTCCATCCTGGATCTAAGACTTTCTCTCTAAACTCACTATGTCTATCGCTCAAGAGTAATTTTGGTCCCCTATCTCCCGTTACAGTCTCAAAAAATCGTCTAAAATGTTTATCTATAAAATTTGGGGGATACTTATTCAAAAGAAGGGTAATTCTAACTTTTTCTATCTCTTCTTCTAAATTATCTATATGGGAACATATTCTAACCGCTCTTAAAAGTGCTGAGAAGGGTATATTCTTCATAACATGGGGTGGGTGTGCTGAGTTAAAAGGTAAAATATAGGGTTGCGCAGCTAACTTTCTATAAACTTTCGTTCTAAAGTTGGGTACTTCTACTTCTATTCTTATATCTAAATAATCTACATGGGGGCCTGTCTCAAAAGTTAAACCTATATTCTTATCTTTCTTACCTAATTCTAATAAAATCTTTTCTATTTCTATCTTACTCTTCTTAGTGGTTAGGAAAATGTCATCTCTAAATCTAAAGTATAACTCACCTTCGCTATCTTGATCTACCTTAAACTGTTTTTCCCACTTTCTCATGTAAACATCTGCTAAGACTTGGGTACATTCTGATCCCATGGGTCCTCCTCTAACTTGCTTATAGTACTTAACCTTTTCTCCTGGTAACTGTAGGGCAAAATATGCATTTTCTAAGACATGTCTAAAGAGGGTCCTTATCGTATTGATGGGAATTTCTCCATTAACCTTATTTACCTTATTCTCACCTAACATCTCACAAACTGCTAAGATAGATTCCTGTTGGGGTATCATTGTATATAAATCTGTTATATCAAATGTATATACAAGAGTCTGGTCTGTAGTCTTATATTTTCTTAATTCCTTTAACAGTTCTATACTATTTCTCAAACTGTACGGGGTAAACTTATCAAAAATGGGTCTAATAATTTGATCAAGAAAAGCCGAGATTTTTTGTGTTGGTGATTTCATTCCTGAAACAATTGGTCTTAGTGGTTCTCCTACCTTATGATCTTTTGGGTTATAATAAAGATGGGGTAACTCGGCATCTATTGGATTTGGTTTTAACTTATCGAAATACTTACCGGGTAATAACTTTCTATTAACTAAATCTCTTAATAATTCTTCTGTCTTTTCTATCATACTTTCTAATGGGGATTTTTCTATCTCTTGGTAAGCATCTGTCTTCTTCATATAAGCTATCGACTTCTCAATGTATGTCTCAGGCCTGTCAACGTGGAATACTTTTGATTTATCTGTTTGCCTGAAAATTATTTTACCCTTTTTTTGTTCCCTTTGAAAACGTTCTAAGGCCTTCTCTATTACTGGGTCTTGTGCTGTTCCTTCACTAATCTTACTTCTTAGTTCTTCTTCTAATCTATTTGCGAAATTCTCAACTATAATGGGGTGCTTATTTACTGTTCTAGTCTCTCTTCTCCATGCTTCAACTACCTTATCTTTCATTACCTTAATCTCATCTTCTAATCTATCTAAAGCTTGTTTGGGGTTAACTGGTACAAATTTGGGTCCATAATTTAAGATTCTTCTTTCCTCATCTCCTAAACTTAATACCTTATTATTTACTTGAGGTGGAAATCCAAGCGGGGTATAATGGGGATGTAAATTCTTAACCTTACTATTTCTTTCTATTCCTCTAGCTATTTTCCTATTATTCTTTGCGCTTTTCTCTCTAAAAAATGTAACTTCTTCTCAACTCGTCTATCTTGCCTTATCTGGATGGTACTTATTAATTCCTTATATGCTGTTCTTATTTCTACTGGTATTTTCTCAACTAATTCTAAGTGTTCTTTATCTGTCTGTTCTATTTCTTTAACCTTAGCTAATCTCATTATTGATGTTAAATCTAACTTACTCTTACGTATAACGTTATTCCACTGCTCACTATACTGTTCCTTATTCTCATTACTTAATACCTTACTTCTAAACTGTAACTTATCCATAACATTTAATGAGGGTGGGGGCATATTCTCATTTAATCTACGGTCTAACTTATCTAACTGAAATTTTAATTCTAAAGTCCGTTCTAAAGTCATCTGTGCCTTATCAACTAATTCTAAATTATCTTTATTACTCTTATTTCTAATTACTCTTAAGGCTTTCTCTCTTATCTGATCTAAGATTAGGTTATCTAAACGTTTCTGATTTGTATTGTTCAAAATATCTATTAGGGGGTCTACGCTATTCTTAATATATTCTACTACTACCTTACGTAACTCTTCACTATATTCTTTCATCTGTTTTTCTAACTCTTTCTCTTGTTGCTTAGCCTTTTTCTCCAAAAATTCTCTATGTGCTATAATATTAATTATACTAGCTGGCTGGTGGAATATCTTAAAGTGGAACTTACACTCTATTGGAATTATTGGAAAATTAACTATACTTAATCTATCTATATCTGTATCTTTAGAAATTACTGACGGGGAATGAACTACCTTATCCTGTTCTATCATCTCAACTGACTCAACTACTTCTTCTTGCTGCTGGTCTTTCTCAATCTCAATCTCAATATTCGATGTTACTATCTGTGGACTATAATCTAATGGTTGTGGCCGGGCTACTGGTGTTCTCGGGGTACTCTGTCTCGGGCTAATTGTTGGTGGCTCAACTAAACCTGGTGGTGTCTTAGGTAACTCAACTATTTCTATTTCCTTAATCGTCTCTTGTTCCTGCTGTTCCTGAAATTGCCTTCGTTGGGATCTTATCTGATGTGGTGGTGGTTCTATCTGAAATAATCTACGTCTCTTGGCGCTGGGGTCTATAGGTGTATCTGGTCTATTATTCTTAGCTGTTCTATTTTCTACTTCCTTACTACTCTTTTCTACTTCTTTACTACTATTCTCAGTAACTATTAATACTGGACTACCTTCTGGTGCTCTTGGATCATTCTCAATTGAAATTTTCTTTTTCTTCTTAGACTTGGGTTTCTTCTTTCTTATACTAATTCCTTTTCCTGTTGTTGCTTTGTCTTTCGATGTTGGTGAAAGACTCGTATCCCTTAACTTTCTTTTTTTCTTATCTTCTTCTTCTGTCTCACTATTACTCGCACTGGCCTCTCCCTTATTGTCTGAGTTACTATTCTCATTGCCCTGGCTGTCTGAGTCACTTATTGTCATATCTAAAATTCTCGAATATCTTTCTCTACGGGGTGTGGGTGTGGGTGTGGGTGTGTTAAGCTACCATGATATCGATATTTCATCTCTGCAACGAGATTTTTCAAATGGCACTCGTAACGATAAATTTCCAAAGAGAAATTTTCGAAACAAAGTTGATTCTATCGTGTTAGCGAANNTTAGTACTTTTTGAGTAAATAAAGCAGAAAAAATAAATAAATAAATAAATATTAATTTGGGCAAATTTTTAAGAAAAATCGGGCAGAGATTTAGTCCTTTTTTAGTGAAAAGAGCTGATAAATTTAATAAATAAATGAATAAATAAATAAACAAATAAATAATTTAGGTATGAGCAAAGAGAAAATAAGTTTTTTAATGAAAAAAATGAGCTTTTATTTAAGAGAGATAAATAATAAATATTTTTTTGTTTTTAGTGTTTTAATTTTAAAGAAAAATGAGCTTTTTTAGGTTTAAATGAGAAATGAGCTTGTTTTTAATAAATGAGAGAAAAATGAGCTTGTTTTAGGCTTTAAGAAAAAAGTAAACTATTTTTGGTAAGAAAATAGCTGTTTTTTAGTTAAGACGAGAGCAAACGTGTTTTTTAATGAATTTTGAATTAATTTTAAGATAATAAATAGTTTTTAATGTAATTTTATTTAATTTAACAATAAAGTAAATAAATAAACGACAGTAAAATTGTAATAAGCGACGCGTTTCGAATATTCTTCAGGCTATGAATGACTTTCTCAAGATGGCTACCGTTCTATCTATCTATCCGTTCTTTCCTCTCGTCCTATCAAAAAATATCTCTCATTCGCGGGGGTATACTTATGCACTTGGGGGTAAAGATGTCGTTAGCTATCACTATTATTATCATCTTCCTTCTCATTCTCAATTCAGGGGAGCTCAATCCCTGTTACAATAAAAAATAACACACGAAATACAGAAAAAAAGGGGAAAACAACAAAACGACAAAACAACAAAACGACAAAACAACAAAACGACAAAACAATAAAACAAGACGACAGAAAACTAAAGAATACTAAAATTAAATGTTTTTTATTTTCATTTTTTGTTGTTGTCGTCGTAATTTACTAAAAGTAGAAAACGAAAAATGGGGAGGGGGTATTTCTTTCCTTATTCTAAACTTATTCTAAATTTTCTACTAAGGCCTTAATCGCTGACTTTGATGGTTTCTTATGAACTAATATACTCTTTAAATTATCTGTTAATCTATGGGCAAAAATAACTGGGATATCGCTAAGCGGTGTTTCCTCAAAAATCTCTTTCCAAATTTGGTGGAATCTTGACCCGAAACGTGCTAAATTTGGTGTATAGGTGAAGTGGAGTAAAATATCTTTATTAAAGTCGATTCCGGGGTTTTCTTTTTTATTCCATCCTGCTTCTAAGACTTTATCTCTAAATTCATTATGTCTATCGCTCAAGAGTAATTTTGGTTCCCTTTCTCCCGTTAAAGTTTCAAAAAATCTCTTAAAATGTTTATCTATAAAATTTGGTGGGTACTTATTCAAAAGAAGGGTAATTCTAACTTTTTCTATCTCTTCTTCTAAATTTTCTCTATGGGAACATATTCTAACTGCTCTTAAAAGTGCTGAGAATGGTATATTCTTCATAACGTGGGGTGGGTGTGCTGAGTTAAATGGTAATATATATGGTTGGGCCGCTAATTTTCTATAAACTTTCGATCTAAAATTGGGAACTTCTACTTGTACTCTTATATCTAAATAATCTACATGTGGTCCTGTCTCAAAAGTTAAACCTATATTCTTATCCTTCTTACCTAATTCTAATAAAATCTTTTCTATTTCTATCTTATTCTTCTTCGTTGTTAAAAAAATATCATCTCTAAATCTAAAATATAACTCTCCTTCCTTATCCTGTTCTAACTTAAACTGTTTTTCCCATTTTCTCATATAAACATCTGCTAAGACTTGGGTACATTCTGATCCCATGGGTCCACCTCTTATCTGCTTAAAATACTTAACATTCTGACCGGGTAATTGTAGGGCAAAATACGCATTTTCTAATACATGTCTAAAGAGGGTCCTTATCGTATTGATGGGAATTTCTCCATTAACCTTATTTATCTTATTTTCTCCTAACATCTCACAAACTGCTAAGATAGATTCTTGTTGGGGTATCATTGTATATAAATCTGTTATATCAAATGTATATACAAGGGTCTGGTCTGTAGTCTCAAATTTCTTCAATTCCTTTAAAAGTTCTATACTATTTCTTAAACTGTACGGGGTAAATTTATCAAAAATTGGTCTAATAATTTGATCTAGAAAAGCCGAGATTTTTTGTGTTGGTGATTTCATTCCCGAAACAATTGGTCTAAGTGGTTCTCCTACCTTATGATCTTTTGGGTTATAATAAAGATGAGGTAACTCGGCATCTATTGGATTTGGTTTCAACTTCTCAAAGTATTTCCCGGGTAATAAATTTCTATTAACTAAATCTCTTAATAACTGTTCTGTCTTTTCTATCATACTGTCTAATGGTGATTTTTCTATCTCTTGGTAAGCGTCTGTCTTTTTCATATAAGCTATCGACTTCTCAATATATGTCTCAGGTCTGTCAACGTGGAATACTTTTGATTTATCTGTTTGTCTGAAAATTACTTTACCCTTTTTTTGTTCTTTTTGAAAACGTTCTAAGGCCTTCTCTATTACTGGGTCTTGTGCTGTTCCTTCGCTAATTTTACTTCTTAATTCTTCTTCTAATCTACTTGCGAATTTTTCAACTATAATGGGATGCTTATCCACTGTTCTAGTTTCTCTTCTCCATGCTTCAACTACCTTATCTTTCATTACTTTAATTTCTTCATCTAGTCTATCTAAAGCTTGTTTGCGATTAACGGGTACGAATTTGGGTCCATAATTTAAAATTCTTCTCTCTTCTTGTCCTAAACTTAATACCTTATTATTTACTTGAGGTGGGAATCCGAGTGGGGTATAATGGGGGTGTAAATTCTTAACTTTACTATTCCTTTCTATTCCTCTGGCTACTTTTCTATTATTCTTTGCGCTTTTCTCTCTAAAAAATTCAATTTCTTCTGTACTCGTCTATCTTGCCTTATTTGAATTGTACTTATTAAGTCCTTATATGCTGTCCTTATTTCTACTGGTATTTTCTCAACTAATTCTAGATGTTCCTTATCGGTCTGTTCTATCTCTTTTACCTTTGCTAATCTCATTATTGATGTTAAATCTAACTTACTCTTACGTATAACATTATTCCACTGTTCACTATATTGTTCTTTATTCTCATTACTTAATACTTTACTTCTAAACTGCAACTTATCCATAATATTTAATGCTGGTGGTGGCATATTCTCATTTAATCTACGATCTAACTTATCTAACTGAAATTTTAATTCTAATGTACGTTCTAATGTTGCTTGTGCCTTATCTACTAATTCTAAACTATTCTTATTGTTCTTACTTCTAATTATTCTTAAGGCTTTTTCTTTTATCTGGTCTAAGATTAAGTTATCTAAACGTTTCTGATTTGAATTTTTTAAATTATCTATTAAAGGATCTATACTGTTCTTAATATACTGTACTACTATCTTACGTATCTCTTCACTATATTGTTCCATATGTTGTTCTAATTCTTTCTGTTGTTGTTTAGCTTTTTTCTCTAAGAATTCTCTATGTGCTATAATATTAACTACACTAGCTGGTTGATGGAAGATCTTAAAGTGGAACTTACATTCTATTGGAATTATCGGAAAATTAACTATACTTAATCTATCTATATCTATTTCTTTGGAAATAACTGATGGTGAATGTACTATCTTATCTTGCTCTACCATCTCTATTGATTCGACTACTTCTTCTTGTTGTTGGTCTTCCTCGATCTCAATATTCGATGTTACTATATTCGGGCTATAATCTAATGGTTGTGGTCGTGCTATCGGTGTTCTCGGGGTGCTCTGTCTCGGGCTAACTGTTGGTGGCTCACCTAAACCTGGTGGTGTTTTGGGTAATTCTACTATCTCTATTTCTTTAATCAATCTACGTCTTTTTGCACTGGGATCTATGGGTGGATCTGGTCTACTATTCTTAGATGTTCTATTTTCTACTTCCTTACTACCTTCACTAACTACTAACACTGGACTGCCTTCTGGTGCTCTTGGGTCGTTCTCAATTGAAATTTCCTTTTTCTTTTTTGATTTAGGTTTTGGTTTCCTTATACTAATATTTTTATCTGTTACTATTTTATCTTTTGATGTTGGTGAAATACTCGTGTCCTTTAACTTTCTTTTTTTCTTATCTTCATCTTCTTCTGTCTCACTATTACCGGCACTGGCTTCTCCCTTATTGTCTGTGTGACTATTCTCATTACCTTGGCTATCTGAATCACTAATTGTCATATCTAAAATTCTCGAGTATCGTTCTCTACGGGGTCTTGCTTGGGGAATATCTTCTACTTCTTTCATAACTATATCGTCTCCATCCTTATCTGTGTCTTGTTCCTTACGGCTAGCTACCTTTTCATAAATTTTCCATTTCTTACTTTCTTCTTCAAAATGTCTCATCTGATAATAACTATTGGCTATAAGAAATAATTTCTGTTTTTCTATCTCGGGATTCTTAACTATCTCTTTCTCCCCCTGTTTTCTATTTTCTAAGCCTTTCTCCCCCCCTTCTTTTTCTTTTTCTATCTCTTGCGGCGGTTCATTATTTCTAAAAAATTGATCCTTAGTCCTTAATTTATTTGGATAAAAATTAATTAATGATCTCGATGGAAAGTTGGGTTGCTGCTGACTGTTTCTATTTCCCTGTTGTTGTACTATACTATCTGTTGTGACTGAGAATGGCTGAGTGCTATTAAAATTACTATTATCTAAAAGAAAATTTGAAGTATCTGTTAGCCTCTTCATTCTTCGTTGGTAATGTTGTTGATTATTTGGCTGCTGGTGTTGGACTTGAAGATTGTTGGTGTTTCTTCTTAATATTGAGGCGTATGTTGGTGTTGGCGTTGATGTTAATGTTGTTGGTGCGGGTGCTACTGGACGTTGTTGTTGTTGGTGGTGCTGAAAAAGAGAAGAAGAAGCAAAATGTGCGACAGCACGGTTAGAGAACCATTCACGAAGAGCTTCTTCATATTTCCATCGGCCAGTGGTAGTTGATGGATGTAATCCATCTTCTACACGCATGTCCAAGGGTCCGAGACGCGCATCAACGATATCAAAATCTAATTGCTTAGATAAGAATCGGAGATGCTCATTGAATTGGTTATGCATTTGTCCGATGTTGGCCGCAGAGACGAATCTCGTTGGTTTCCACCGGGGTGACAAAGCTAACCAAGCAATGGCTCGGATACCAGGGAATGACTGACGGATGAAACGTATGATCTCACTACATCGCTGCAGAGAAACATCGACTCCGTACTGTCCCACATCGTTAGTACCTAACGACAAAACTAAAAATTGTTTATCTCCTACCGTACGTTGTCCTTCAGGTGTTTGTAACCAATTTATCATCTTAACAATATCACAACCTGATTCATAAGATAATTCAACATCAACGTAATTATTTTTTAATGCATAAGTTCTCACACGAGAACACATTGAATCGGATAGTATAATTCCTTTAGATTTATTATTATTATTGTAAATATTGGGTACTGGTACTGGTGGACGACGAAAATTATTATTATTATTATTATAATTATTATTAATATTATTATTATTATTTTGTTGTTGATGGGTACGGCGTGGTTTAATTATTGGTGGTGGACGAAATGGTGAACGTGAACGTGAACGAGATTGTGATGGTAATTGTGATAAAAGATGAAATCGGGTACGTGATGTTGGACGTGGTAAATGTTGATGGTATTGTTGATTCGGGTGGTATTGTTGGGCATGATGGAGCGACCGTGTATTATGTTGTGATGGTAAATGAAATGGATTTATATCCAATAACGATGGTAAGTTTCGTGCATTATTATTATTGTTGTTATTATTGTAAAAATTATTTTTACGATAATTATTGTAACGATTATAATTATAATTTTGTTGTTGATAACGATTGTTATTATTATTATTATTATTATAAGGTGGTATTGGTGGTAAATTTCGACGTGGTGCTGGTATAGGAGGTACGTTAATATTATTTGAACCATTATAATTTGTATATCCATTAAATGTTGTTGTTGTACCTATCTGAAACTTGTGGAAATTATTATACTTACGTTGCCCAGATCCGTATAAAGCTGGTTTACGTTGAATTTGTTGGACAATATGTTGGTAAGTAGGTGGTATTGTTCGTGGTATTGGATTTGGATTTAAATAAGCAGGACGTAATGGTGGAATATTAATATTGGGAAGATTTGAAGATGTTGTTGATGAATATGTACGTGGAATAATTGTAATTGACGACATTGTTAATTCTTTGCGTGAACTGAGTATGTGGTGATGGTTCAACTTTAAATATGTGGGTGTGGTTTATGTAAATAAGCGAATTAACAATGATATTACGTAATGTAGGTGACAGGTAAGTATATAAATAAAGAAATAAATATATATTAGTTAATGAATAAGAAATTATTAAGAAAAAAATTGTTTTTTTATTAGTTTTATGTTTATAAGTTTTTTTGTATAATTTTTAATTTGTTTTTATCTGTTTTTTAATATTTGAAAAAAGAAATATCTATTTTTTGAACTTTTTAGATTATTAAAGAAAAAAATAATAATAATAAATGAACTTGAATGAATTTCAAGTGAAAAATGAAAAAAATCTCTTTTTGTTTTAAGTGAAAGAAAAATTGAGTTTAAGTAAATTTCTTTAAGAAAAATTGGGCAGAGATTTAGTACTTTTTGAGTAAATAAAGCAGAAAAAATAAATAAATAAATAAATATTAATTTGGGCAAATTTTTAAGAAAAATCGGGCAGAGATTTAGTCCTTTTTTAGTGAAAAGAGCTGATAAATTTAATAAATAAATGAATAAATAAATAAACAAATAAATAATTTAGGTATGAGCAAAGAGAAAATAAGTTTTTTAATGAAAAAAATGAGCTTTTATTTAAGAGAGATAAATAATAAATATTTTTTTGTTTTTAGTGTTTTAATTTTAAAGAAAAATGAGCTTTTTTAGGTTTAAATGAGAAATGAGCTTGTTTTTAATNCTCTACATGGGGGCCTGTCTCAAACGTTAAACCTATGTTCTTATCCGTTCTACCTAATTCTAATAAAATCTTTTCTATTTCTACCTTACTCTTCTTAGTGGTTAAAAAAATATCATCCCTAAATCTAAAGTATAACTCTCCCTCTCTCTCTTGGTCTACCTTAAACTGTTTTTCCCACTTTCTCATATAAACATCCGCTAAGACTTGGGTACATTCTGATCCCATGGGTCCTCCTCTAACTTGCTTATAATACTTAACCTTCTCTCCTGGTAACTGTAGGGCAAAGTACGCATTTTCTAAGACATGTCTAAAGAGGGTCCTTATCGTATTGATGGGAATTTCTCCATTAACCTTATTTATCTTATTCTCACCTAACATCTCACATACTGCTAAGATAGATTCTTGCTGGGGGATCATTGTATATAAATCTGTTATATCAAATGTATATACAAGTGTCTGGTCTGTAGTTTCAAACTTTTTTAGTTCCTTTAAAAGTTCCATACTATTTCTCAAACTATACGGGGTAAATTTATCAAAAATGGGTCTAATAATTTGATCTAGAAAGGCCGAGATTTTCTGTGTTGGTGATTTCATTCCCGAAACAATTGGTCTAAGTGGCTCTCCTACCTTATGATCTTTTGGGTTATAATAAAGATGGGGTAACTCGGCTTCTATTGGATCTGGTTTTAACTTCTCAAAATATTTCCCGGGTAGTAACTTTCTATTGACTAAATCCCTTAATAACTGCTCTGTCTTTTCTATCATGCTATCTAATGGGGATTTTTCTATCTCTTGGTAGGCGTCTGTCTTTTTCATATATGCTATCGACTTCTCAATATATGTCTCAGGCCTGTCAACGTGGAATACTTTTGATTTGTCTGTCTGTCTGAAAATTACTTTCCCCTTTTTTTGTTCTCTTTGAAAACGTTCTAAGGCCTTCTCTATTACTGGGTCTTGTGCTGTTCCCTCACTAATCTTACTTCTTAACTCTTCTTCTAATCTATTTGCGAACTTCTCAACTATAATGGGATTTTTATTCACTGTCTTAGTTTCTCTTCTCCATGCCTCAACTACCTTATCTTTCATTGCCTTAATCTCATCTTCTAATCTATCTAGAGCTTGTTTGGGGTTAACTGGTACAAATTTGGGGCCATAATTTAAGATTCTTCTCTCTTCCTCTCCTAAACTTAATACCTTATTATTTACTTGAGGTGGGAATCCGAGTGGGGTATAATGGGGATGTAAATTCTTAACCTTACTATTTCTTTCTATCCCTCTAGCTATTTTTCTATTATTCTTTGCGCCTTTCTCTCTAAAAAATGTAACTTCTTCTGTACTCGTCTATCTTGCCTTATCTGGATTGTACTTATTAGATCTTTATAGGCTGCCCTTATTCCTATTGGGATTTTCTCAACTAATTCTAAGTGCTCTTTCTCAGTCTGGTCTATCTCTTTTACCTTAGCTAATCTCATTATGGATGTTAAATCTAACTTACTCTTACGTATAACATTATTCCACTGCTCGCTATATTGTTCCCTATTCTCATTACTTAATACCTTACTTCTAAAGTGTAACTTATCCATAACATTAAGTGCTGGTGGTGGCATATTCTCATTTAGTCTACGATCCAACTTATCTAACTGGAATTTTAATTCTAAGGTACGTTCTAATGTCATTTGGGCCTTATCTACTAATTCTAAACTATTCTTATCGCCCTTACTTCTAATTATTCTTAAGGCTTTCTCTCTTATCTGGTCTAAGACTAAATTATCTAAACGTTTCTGGTTTGAGATTTTTAAAATATCTACTAAGGGATCTACACTGTTCTTAATATATTCTACTACTATCTTACGGACCTCTTCACTAAAATATTCCATATGTTGTTCTAACTCTTTCTCTTGTTGCTTAGCCTTTTTCTCTAAGAATTCCCTATGTGCTATAATATTCACTACACTAGCTGGCTGATGGAAGATCTTAAAATGGAACTTACACTCTATTGGGGTTATTGGGAAATTAACTATATTTAATCTATCTATATCTATCTCTTTGGAAATTACTGATGGGGAATGTACTACCTTATCCTGTTCTATCATTTCTACTGACTCGACTATTTCTTCCTGTTGTTGTTCTTTCTGGATCTCGATCTCAATATCTAACGGTTGGGGGCGTGCTACAGGTGTTCTCGGGGTACTCTGTCTTGGACTAACTATTGGCGGGCCAACTAAACCTGGTGGTGTTTTGGGTAACTCTATTATCTCTATTTCCTTAACTATACTAACATTCTTAGGTGTTCTATTCCCTGCTTCCTTACTACTATTCTCATTAACTAATAATACTGGACTACCTTCGGGTGCTCTTGGGTCATTCTCAATTGAAATCTTCTTTTTCTTTTTTGATTTGGGTTTCTTCTTTCTTATACTATTATCTTTTTCTGTTGCTGCCTTTTCTTTCGATGTTGGTGACAGACTTGTGTCTCTTAACTTTCTTTTTTTCTTTCCCTCTTCTTCGGTCTCACTACTACTCTCACTGGCTTCTCCCTTATTATCTGTGTGGCTACTCTCACTAGTCTGGCTATCATCATCGGTAATTGTCATATCTAAAATTCTCGAGTAAAATCTTTCTCTACGGGGTCTTGGCTGGGGGATCTCTTCTATTTCCTTCATTACCACGTCGTCTCCATCCTTATCTGAGTCTTCTTCCTTACGGCTGGCTACTTTTTCATAGATCTTCCATTTCTTACTTTCTTCCTCGAAGTGTCTCATCTGATAATACCTGTTGGCTATAAGAAATAATTTTTGTTTTTTATTCTCGGAATTTTGACTATGTCTTTCTCCCCCCTCTTTTTTTTCGGCTATGTCTTTCTCCCCCCCACTATTTTCTTTTTTTTCTTTTTCTAGCTGTGGTGGTGGTTGATTATCTCTGAAAAACTGATCTTTTGACCTTAATTTATTTGGATAAAAATTAATTAATGTTCTCGATGGTAAATTGGGCTGCTGCTGACTGTTTTGGTGTTTCTGCTGTACTATACTATCTGTTGTGACTGAGAATGGCTGGGTGCTATTAAAAACCTTATCATCTAAAAGAAAATTAGAAGTATCTTTTAGCCTCTTCATGCTTCGTTGGTAATGCTGTTGATTATCATTATTGTTTCTTCGTACTACTGAGGCGTATGTTGGTATTGGTGTTGATGTTAATATTGTTGGTGTTGGTACTGTTGGACGTTGTTGTTGGTGGTGGTGCTGAAATGAAAGAGAAGAAGAAAAGTGCGCGGCGGCACGGTTCGAGAACCATTCACGAATAGCTCCTTCATATTTCCATCGGCCAGTGGTAGTTGATGGATGTAACCCATCTTCTACACGCATATCCAAGGGTCCGAGACGCGCATCAACAATATCAAAATCTAATTTCTTAGATAAGAATCGGAGATGCTCATTGAATTGGTTATGCATTTGTCCGATGTTGGCCGCAGAGACGAATCTCGTTGGTTTCCACCGGGGTGACAAAGCTAAC